GCAAGCCACACCACACAACTGCCGGCACTGTCTGCCTCTCAAGGCCAACCAGATGCACCAGGCCTCACTCCCTCGCCCAGGCAGAGCGACAGCAAAGCTACCTTCGCCTTCGGTCCACCGGAAGAAAGAGAGTGAGAGTTTTCTCTCTCTTCTTATTTATACTCTTGCTTACGTAAAAATCGTATGGAATACTGGGAACATGGTCTTGGTTCCTTGGTTACAACCTAGTCACCAAGGAAGACCTAGTCTCAAAACCACTGCATTCTCCACCCCTTATTCCATACTGTTTTTATGTAACACTTATATGTCATGTATTTGCTTATATCCCATGTATATATACACATAATTATATATATAGTCCTTTGGAGTAGTTGTCTTGTGGTAGAAGATCAGCTTCAGCATCAACAGTAGCTCGGTTCAGATCCTTGGCACTTTGGTTACAATCACAGTTCAGGTTTAGGACTGGTTCACTGTCTCATCGCCAGATACCGGTATCGGCTTTGGTCAGGTCTCTCTCATTTGGTGACTGGTCTCCTGTAAAACAACTTGAAGCACAAAGTTAGTTTTTCCCCAAAGATAAATTTCCTTGAGGCACACAATGTATCTTTCCATCCCTCCTCATCACCCACTAGGTGTACCCTGGCCCTTGAGCGGAAACAACTCCATGAATGGGTTTGTCTTGGCCCGAGGTAGGGGTAACCCAAATGGCTTTACCCAACATACCTCTCAGGTGAATCACTGGAACTTTGTCTCCATTTACAGCATGGAGGGATTCTGCTTGGGCAGGGCCAGCTCGATTGACAGAGCCTCTAGTATTTACCAACCAGGTGGCCTTGGCTAGGTGCTTATCCCAGTTCTTAAATTTTCCCTCACATAGTGCTTTTAAAGTTGTTTTTAACAGTCCATTATACCTTTCAATTTTCCCAGCAGCAGGTGCATGATATGGAATGTGATAGACCCATTCAATACCATGCTCCCATGCCCACGTGGCCACTAGATTATTCTTGAAATGAGTCCCATTATCTGACTAAATTCGCTCTGGAGTGCCATGTCTCCATAAGACCTGCTTTTCAAGACCCAGAATGGTATTCCGGGCTGTTGCATGGGGCACTCAATATGTCTCCAACCATCCAGTGGTTGCTTCCACCATGGTAAGCACATAACTCTTACCTTGGCAGGTCTGTGGCAACGTGATATAATCGACCTGCCATGCTTCTCCATATCTATACTTGTTCCAGTGTCCACCATACCATAGGGGCTTCAATCTTCTTGCATGCTTAATAGCAGCACAGGTTTCACAGTCATGGATAACCTGGGAAATAGTGTCCATGGTTAAATCCACCCCACTGGTAGGTGGCATCTCGGCCCTGATGGTCTGAAGCATCGTGGGCCCATCAGGCTAGGAACAACTCTCCCTTATGTTGCCAGTCCAGGTCTATTTGTGACACTTCAATTTGCGCAGCTCTATCCGCTTGTCTGTTGTTACGATGTTCTTCGTTGGCTCGACTCTTGGGTACATGGGCATCTACATGGCGGACTTTCACATCTAGTTTCTTTACTCTAGAAGCAATGTCCTGCCACAAATCAGCAGCCCATATAGGTCTTCCTCTACGCTTCCAACTCATGTTTTTCCATCGCTCTAGCCATCCCCATAGGGCATTGGCTATCATCCATGAGTCGGTGTAGAGGTAGAGCCTTGGCCATCCTTCTCTCTCTGCAATGTCTAGGGCCAATTGGACAGCTTTGAGTTCTGCAAACTGACTCGATTCGCCTTTACCTTCAGTGGCCTCCATGACTTGTCGGGTGGGACTCCAAACAGCTGCTTTCCACTTCCGGTTCCCTCCTATAATACGGCAAGAACCATCAGTGAAAAGAGCATAACGCGTCTCTTCATCTGGCAGTTGATTATATGGCGGAGCTTCTTCAGCTCGACTCACTGGCTCTTCTTCCTCTTCATCTGCCAGACTGAAGTTTCCACCTTCGGGCCAATTAGTTATGATTTCCAAATTCGGACATGTTGCGTAATCAAAGCAATCCACTTACTCCACGTGGCATTGATAGCATGATGTGTAGGAGGCACTTTCCCTTTGAACATCCAACTCAGCACCGGTAGTCGGGGTGCCAGGAAGAGCTGTGCTTCAGTGCCAATCACTTCAGAAGCTGCTTGTATGCCTTCATATGCCGCCAGTATTTCCTTCTCCATAGGGGTGTAGTTGGCTTCAGATCCTCTGTAGCTTCGACTCCAGAAGCCAAGTGGTTGCCCTCGTGTTTCGCCAGGCACCTTTTGCCAGAGGCTCCAAGAGGGACCTGTTATCTCCAGATGCAGTGTAAAGTACATTCTTTACATCTGGTCCCGTCCTAACTGGTCCAAGAGCCACGGCATGTGCAATCTCTTGCTTGATCTGCCTGAAAGCCTGCTGTTGTTCAGGACCCCATTGGAAATCATTCTTTTTACGGGTCACAAAATAAAGAGGGCTCACAATTTGACTGTACTCTGGGATGTGCATCCTCCAGAAGCCTATGGCTCCCAGAAAAGCTTGGGTCTCCTTTTTGTTTGTCGGTGGAGCCATTGCTACAATTTTATTGATGACGTCGGTTGGAATCTGGCGCCTTCCATCTTGCCATTTCACCCCTAAGAACTGGATCTCTCTGGCAGGCCCCTTGACCTTGCTCTTCTTAATGGCAAAACTGGCTTTGAGGAGAATCTGGATAATCTTCTCTCCTTTGTCGAAAACTTCCTTTGCTGTGTTCCCCCATACAATGATGTCGTCAATGTATTGTATATGTTCTGGGGCCTCACCCTTCTCCAGTACAACCTGGATCGATCCATGACAGATGGTGGGACTGTGTTTCCACCCCTGGGGCAGTCGATTCCAGGTGTATTGCACGCCCCTCCACGTGAAAGCAAACTGCGGCCTGCACTCTTCTGCTAAGGGAATGGAGAAAAATGTATTTGTTATGTCAATGGTAGCATACCACTTCGCTGTCTTGGACTCCAGCTCATATTGGAGCTCCAACATGTTTGGCACAGCAGCACTCAATGGCGGTGTGACTTCATTTAAGCCACGATAGTCCACTGTCAATCTCCATTCGCCATCAGATTTGCGTACAGGCCAAATGGGGCTGTTGAAGGGTGAGTGAGTCTTACTGACCACCCCTTGACTCTCCAACTTCCTGATCATCTTATGAATAGGGATCACAGCATTTCGATTGGTCCGGTATTGTCGCCTATGCACTGTTGAAGTGGCTATTGGCACTTGTTGATCATCAACTTGCAGGAATCCTACAACAGAAGGATCTTCTGAGAGACCAGGCAGGGCAGACAATTGCTTGGATTTCTCTTCAGTCACCGTGGCTACACCGAAAGCCCATCGGTACCCCTTTGGGTCCTTGAAGTATCCTCTTCTCAGGTAATCAATACCAAGGATACAGGGGGCTTCTGGCCCTGTCACAATGGGATGCTTTTCCCATTGGTCTCCAGTTAAGCTTACTTCGGCCTCTACCACTGACAACTCTTGCGACCCTCCTGTCACTCCAGAAATAGACACAGTCTCCATAGTCTTATGTTCAGACGGCATTAGTGTACACTGGGCACCGGTATCTATCAAAGCCCGGTATCTCTGTGGATCCGATGTGCCAGGCCATCAAACCCACACAGCCCAGTAAACCCGATTATCCTTCTGGTCCCTTTCCTTCTCCTGGCAGAAGGCAGGGCCCCTCTATTGGTCCTTGTCAGAGTATTCAGTGTCAGATATCCTCTTTGCTCCACCAGCGGCCTTCTTGTTGTCAAGGAAGTGGACTTCAGCCTTCTTGTGTTGTGGAGATCGCAATTGCTTTTCCACAAAATTCGCATCAACTACAAAGACAAGTTTCTTATTGGTTTCCTTCTGCTTCAGCTCTTTCACTCTAGCCTGAAGTTTGGAAGTGGGTTGTCCCACATGTAGTAGCCTAAAACAGGTGCAAAAGCTGCTAAAAGTACATTAAAAATTAAGAAAGTGGCCATTATTTATATAGTTGTCCTCAATGTTCTTAAACAAGAGGTATATTTATATAAACAAATCCCTCTTGGCTGCGATCCCGGTACTGTTCCCAAACAAAGTCAATGTTTGGCAGAACTTGGCCACCTGCCCAGAAATTGTTACCAAAACAACCTCCTGGTTATCTCGGTGGAACCTCCAAAAATGTCCCAGGTTGGACTTGGCTCCCAGCCAAGTGCCCAGACTTTAGGGACGAAGTCTTCCCTCTCCCTCTCACGTAATTGATTGAAAAGATCACGAAAAAGAAAATCAAAAGAACCCAAACCGAACTGAATTTTAAGTGGAAGATTTATATATATATATATACAAAGAAAATTATATACAGGGAACCCCCCAAAAGGGAAAAGGGAAGGGAAAAGGAAAAAGGGATAAAAAGGGATACAATGCAAATACTTCCCTCCAGAGATAGCGAACCACACCACACAACCGCCGGCACTCTCTGCCTCTCAAGGCCAACCAGATGCGCTAGGCCTCACTCCCTCGCCCGGGCAGAGCGACAGCAAAGCTACCTTCGCCTTCGGTCCACTGGAAGAAAGAGAGTGAGAGTTTCCTCTCTCTCTTATTTATACTCTTGCTTACGTAAAAATCGTATGGAATACTGGGAACATGGCCTTGGTTCCTTGGTTACAACCTGGTCACCAAGGAAGGCCTAGTCTTAAAACTACCACAAAGTCGCTCCCAGTTTGATCCTGGTCCCTTACAGTCACTCCCACTATGATCCCAGTATGGTGCTGGTCACTCCCACTATGGTCCCAGTCACTCCCAGTCACTCCCAATTGGATCCCAGTTGTCCCCAAGGTGGTCTCAGTTGCTCCAAGCCCCACACCAGGATGGTTCCTTTCCCTCTCAGGGACTCCCAGTCTGAGTCCAGTATGACCCCAGGCACTGTCAGTCCCTGCCTGGACGATGCTATTTGCCCCCTGCATGGTCCCAGTTGCTCCCAGTATGATCCCAGCATGAGTCTCGTCACCCCCAGTATGATCCCAGGAACTTCCAGATACTTCCAGTACAAATTCACTTTTATCCCACTCATCCCCAGTATGGCTGCAGTCCCTCTCACACACTCCCAGTATTATTGCAGTCACTCCCAGTAAGACCCCAGCAGGACAGCAATAGGGGCCCAGCTGCTCCCACTATGATCCCAGTTGCCTCCAGCAGGCTTCCAGTTGCTCCCCTTCACCTCTACTATGGTTCCAGTCACTCCCAGAACGATCCCAGTCACCCCCAGCCACTCCCAGTATAGCCCAATTGCCTCCAGCATTCTCCCAGTCAGTCCCAGTTTGATCCCAGTCTCTCTTAGTAGAATCCAAGTCACTCCCTGCACAGTCCCAGTTGCTCCCAGTCACCCCACTGTAGTTCCAGTCCCTCCCAGTATGACTCCAGTATGATCCCAGTGACACCCTCTATGGTGACAGTCACAGCCAGGATGAACCCAGACATTCCCTGTCACTCCCAATATAAAGCCATTTGTCCCCAGCAGGGTCCCACTTGCTCCCACTCACCCCACTATAGTCCCAGTCTCTCCCAGTTGACCTCAGCCTGCTCCCAGTTAGTCCCCGTTACTCCTGGTCTCTCTCAGTATATCCCAGTTGGCCCCAGTGTGGTCCCACTCACTCCCAGTTGCTCCCAGTACCTTCCAGCATGATTCCAGTTGCTCACAGCCACTCCCAGTCACCCCCAGTGTGGTCCTAGTCACTCCCAGTATGATCTCAGTCACCTCCAGTATATCCAAGTTGTGCCAACAGAATGCTTCCAGTCACTCCCAGTATGACCCCATGTACCAGGTTTGCTAGGACACATGTCCGGAAAAAAGACAAGTACAACAGTCATTCAAACACTACAAAAAGTCTTTTATTGCATTGAGAGTAAAAAAAAACTATTAGCAAAGAGAATCAAAAGCTTAAAAAGAATACAAAAACACTACTTTATCAGTTGGCATGCATACAATACTACGAGCAGCCTCTGTTACAGCATTAGCTAGTAAAAAGGGAATTAAAGGAATACAAGAAAAAGGATATAAAATGTTTGCTTTCCTGGTTGCTTCCTATCAATAAACTGTGCTCACCTGCACAGACAGGCCAGGCCTACCAGGCTCTGCAGGGCTGGTCGGTGCCCGTGCTTGGCGGGTGTCCCCGCGGAGCAGCACAGTGTGGATGGAAGGATGAGCATCGCTCCACCCAGCAGTGCTGACACCCCATTCCATCAGCTCTACATTACACTGCGTAGGGCCAGGACGCAGCAGAAGGTGGTGCTTGAGTGACAGCCAAACAGCGCCCGTTCATCACCTCATGGCAACAGTCTGGGCGTGCCCCACTGTAGGGCAAGGGGCCAACGACCCCTGCCCACATCATCTTCCTCTCCATCCCCTTCCTCAGCCCTATGGACGACCTGTACCATTGTGTTTCAAGGGGATTTGTATCTCTCTTGCAGAGTGGAGCCAAGCCAAGGAGGAGCTCAGCTCTGATAATGGGGGACATCCAGTTAACTTTGCTAAAGGCACAATGGGCCTTACAGTCAACTTGTGCAATGAAGTCACATTGTACAATACTCTGGCTGTGTTCACATACGAATATAATCACTTTTTCACCCCTTTTTGCTCCATGGATCATCTAAATCAAAAGCACCCCCTTACACCATGGCAACCACTGAGCATTCACATTGTTAACTTGGTTACCATGGCAACCATTGTATAGTCTCATTGTGACGTCGCTTGCCATGAACATCATTGTGTATTCTCATTGTGACGTCATTTACCATGGCAACCATTGTGCATTCTCATTGTGACCTCGGTTACCATGGCAACCATTGTGCATTCTCATAATGATGTCACTTACCATGGCAATCATTGTGCATTCCCATTGTGATCTCAGTTACCATGGCAACCATTATGCAGTCTCACTGTTACAGTGGTTACCATGGCAACAATTAAGCATTCTCATTGTGATGTTGGTTACAATGGCAACCATTGTCCATTCTCATTGTGATGTCACTTCCAATGGAAACAACTGTGCAATCTCATTGTGACCTCCGTTACCATGGAAACCATTGTGCATTCCCATTATGACCACAGATGCCATGGAACCATTGTGCATTCTCATTGTGACATCAGATGCCATGGCAACCATTGTGCATTGTCATTGTGATTTGGTTGCCGTGGCAACCATTCTGCATTCTCATTGAGACCTTGGTTACCTTGGCCACCATTATGTGGTTTTTTTTTCTTAACATCAGTTACCATGGCAACCATTGTGCATTCCCATTATTAAATGATTACCATGGTAACCATTGTGCATTTCTATCATCACCTAGCTTACCACAGCAGCCATTGTGCATTCTCATTGTGACCTTGGTTATCATGGCTACCATTGTACATTCTCATTGTGACTTTTGGTTACCATGGGAACCATTATGCTTTCTCATTTTGACCTCAGTTGCATGGTAACCCTTGTGTATTCCCATTGTGACCTCGGTTGCCATGGAAACCATTATGTATTCCCACTTTGACCTAGGTTACCATGGCAACCATTGTGCATCCTCATTGTGGTTTCACTTACCATGGCAACCATTATGCATCCTCATTGTGTTGTCAGTTGCCCTCGCAACCATTGTGAACTCAGTTACCATGGCAATCATTGTGCATTTTCATTGTGAACTTTGTTACCATGACAAACATTGTGCATTCTCATTGTGACTGTGCATAGCATGGCAACCACTGTGCATTCCCACTGTAACCCCGGTTGCCATGACAACCATTGTGCATTCTCATTGTGACCTCAGTTACCATGCCAAACATTGTGAATTCTCATTGTGACCTCGGTTACCATGGCAACCATTGTGCATTCTCATTGTCACCTCGGTTACCATGGCAACCATTGTGCATTCTCATTTTTAAGTTGGTTACCATGGCAACCATTGTGCATTGCCATTGTGATGTTGCTTACCATGCAAACCATTGTGCATTGTCGTTGTGATGCTTACCATGGTAAAAATTGTGCATTCTCATTCTGACATCACTTACTGTGGTAACCATTGTGAATTCCCATTATTACAACAGTTTCCATGGCAACCATTGTGAATTCTCATTATTACCTCGGTTACCATGGCAACCATCATGCAGTCTCACTGTTTTGCTGGTTACCATGGCAACCATTGTGCATTCTCATTGTTAACTCGGTTACCATGGCAAAGATTGTGCGTTTGCATTGCTAGGGTCGGTTAATAAGGCAACCATTATGCATTTCCTGTTACGTCGCTTACCATGGCAACCATCCGTAACACACAGATAATATAAAAATGCCAAAAATTGTTTCTGCCTGTCAAAAACTTCCTATCAAACATTCTCTGTCAGCTCTCTGAAGGAAGTTCTCACCAGGACTTCCCATGCCACCTTTCCTGCCAAAAGATCCTGCCATTGTTTATGGTTACCATATCTCCTCCAACATCTGAACTGGTTACGTGCCAAGAAACCATGTACAACCTCTTTTGAACACTATAAAAGTTGAGGACAAATTTTGGAAAATCAGGGAGAAGAAAGGCAGAAGAACTGGTGACTGTAGCCGAGAATCTCTGCCCACCTCCCCTCACCTTTTCTCCACCACCGCGTGCTGCCTGCCTGCCACCGGAGACTGGAACTGTGCCGGCCTGGAGAGAGCTGAGACCACCGTGCCACATGTGGGAGTTCTACCTTATCCTTCTACCCTGACCATATTTCTGAGGGCCCAAAGCTTTGGCTGCGCTGAGACCCTGCACGGCCTGGGACAGGAGTGTTAGTGGTGAAACCACACATGGTGCATTGCAGAGAACTAAAGCTGTCAGACCCCCTGCAGCTACAGAGATAACATCCAAAAGCTGCAGGGACAGAGAAAAAAAGGCAGAAACTGCTTCTCCACACACACACAGACCAGCTCAGTGGGAGAAGAAAGTTTTCGGTGGTATCTTTTCTCTACTTCTAGAAATAATCTTAGCAGTTTCCAACCTTTTCTTATTTTTTCCTTATTCTCTTTGTATCTCTTAGCAATTAATAAAAATCAGTTTTTGGTATCAACAGATAACTTGTGTGAGTTTTAGTTTTGCTCAAGGGTATATTCAAATCTGAAGTTCTTTCTGCAATATTTAAGCAGATTGTAATAGGGGACCATGGAAAAGTGGGAGGAACAGGAAGAAGGATGGAAAAGTCGGGGTGGTCTGGAGGATCCAATAATCCCATGGGGGTCTTTGGGAACAGGGAGGTTGGAAAAGGGGGGTGCCCCCCTGAGCTCCCAACTGACTGTGGGGTGCTGGGGCTGCTGGATCCAATCTCAGCCTTGGGTTATGCCAACACTTTCAGTTCAGAGGAATTACAGAGGTGGGACTGAACCACTTTTGTCCCCCAGGTTTTAAGGGTGGCAAATCATATCTATTGACAGAAATGAATTATTTAGGGTTACAAATGATCAGACAAAAGATCTTCATCAGAATTATTTTCTGTACAATAGAAACCACAAAACTACCAGTAGGGCAGCATAAGATAGGACAGCGCTCTACACTAAAGCAATTGTTGAAGCAATTCTACTCAAGCTGGCACCAAAGCAAGAATTATGAATTGGAGATGGATGGAACTCCCCCAGACCAACGCTCATGGGGAGATCTCTGCTCTCAACCTCCAGCAGTGACCTTGGGGGATCCCCAGCCAAGGCAGGAATCTCCACACACCCTCCAAGAAGGGTTCTGTTGACACAACCTGCCCCTGGGAAAGGGGACTGGCCCTTTCTGGTAGAAAGGGATGGACTGACAGTCCCTGGACTCCAGGGGTTGCCTCACCATCAGGGGGTCATTCGGGGTGGGAGCAGCAGCCAAAGCTCTTCCTGCAGGCGGGGCACTCGTAGGGCCTTCCCTTACTGGTGGGTCCGTTGGTGTTTGGTCAAGGTAGAGCTCTGGGTGAAGCTCTTCCCACACTCCCCACACTTGTAGGGCCTCTCCCCGGTGTGGATGCGCCGGTGGGTGATGAGGTTGCTGTTCTGGTTGAAGCCCTTCCCACAGTTGGTGCAGCGGAAGGGCCTCTCCTCTGTGTGTATCCGTTCATGCAGGAGGAGATTGGAGCTGCCCCTAAACCTCTTCCCACATTCCAAGCACTTGTAGGGCCGTTCCCCAGTGTGGATAACCTGGTGTCGGATCAGGCTGGAGCTCTGCCTGAAGCTCTTCCCACATTCCCCACATGTGTAGGGCTGTTCCCCAGTGTGGATGTGCTGGTGCCTGAGGAGGTGGGAGCTCTTCCTGAAACTCTTCCCACATTCCAAGCACCTGAAGGGCTTCTCCCTGCTGGGAGGCTGCTCAGGGACCACCAGCTCAGAGCTCCGGCCGCCTTCCTGGTGCAGGCCGGGTCTTTCCTCCTCAGAGCTCCCTGGGCTGGCTTTGCAGCCCCTCCTCCGGGGGCATCTCCAGGCCTTTTCCTCCCCGCTGCCTTCCTGCACTGGGGAGCCCTTCAAAACAGCCTCTCCTACCAGGCTCTGCCAGGGGGATTTGTCCTCCGTGCTCTCCGTCCTCAGCTCGGGGCCTGGGGCAGAAAGGAAGAAGGACAGGCAGGGGATTTACCTCTGGCCCAGAGGGAAGGCCAAGGACATTCCCCCCAAATTTGGCCCCCACAGGCACCACAAGACAGGGCCAAAGGGGCACTGACTTCCTCCTCACCTGCCTGGGGGGACCGTGGCATCTTCCTCTCATCCTCCTCCTCCATCCGCCCAAGCTTTGGGAAGGACAAATCCTCCTGGGGGAAAACAAGGGCTGAGTGCCTTGCCTTGGGGGTTCCTCCTGCCCCAGTCCATCTCTGGAGCTCACCAGGCATCCTGGGACCATAAAAACCTCCAAAACACCAAAGGCCCCCCCAAAAAAACCCCTCCCCCAGAACTCCAAGGTTCAGACCAAAAAAACCCCTTCCAGGAGTTCCCCTCTCAGGTCTCTCCACTTTGGGGTTCTGGGGGGTCCCCCCTGTTTGGGCTGCTGGGGGGGTCCCACGTGTATTGGAGGATCTCCCTCTCCAGGGTCCCTGCCCTCTCTGGGTTCCTGGGGGTCCTGGACTTCCTCCCCCCTCCAGGGTCCCCCTGCTCAGGGATGTTGGGGGTTTTGGAGGCCCCAGGGGTCCCTTCTCCCCTTACTCTTTGCTTTGGGGTGCTGGGGGTCTTAGGGGTCCCACCTCTCTGGGGTCTCCCCCTCTCCAGGCTGCTGTGGGTCCTGGGAATCCCAGGGGTCCCCCTTCTCCGAGCTCCCCTTTCTCTGGGGTCCCCCTGTCTGGGCTGCTGGGGGTCCCAGGACTCGCCCTTCTCCAGGCTTCCCACTTCAGTGTCCCAGAGGACCCAAGGTACCCCCTCTCCAGGCCCCCTTTTCAGGGTTCCTGGACTCCCAAGATTCCCCTTTCTGCAGGTTCCCCCCTTCCCAACTTCCAGGCTGCCGAGGGTCCCGCGGGTCTGGTACCATCCCTCTCTACTCTCCCCACTCCAGGGGTCTCAGCAGCCCCCACCAGCTGCTCCTCCTCCTCTTCCTGCTCCTCCTGGCCTGGGTCCCCCCTTGCCTGGCCAGTCCAGTTTTCCAGACCCCAGACCCTTCTTTCTTTGACTCCAGGATACCCTGCCCCCACTTTCCTCACCATCTCACCTCTGCCAGTCCCTGCATCCCCCTGTTTCATGGCTGGCCATCCCCCATCACCTCAGCCCCAGCTCCCCTTTTCCTTGATCCCAGGACTCCCTGAAACCCCGTCCCAGTTCCCACAGCTCTCCCAGTTTCTCCCTTCTCTTGACCCTGGGACCACCCTGACCCCCAAATCTCCAGGTCTCCCCAGCTCCCCACTCCTGGTTTATCCTGCCGGGCGGTCCTGGGGTGCCCCAGGGACCCCCTGAACTCCCCATTCCTGTACACCAGATTCCCCTGAAGCCCTTTATCCAGGACCAGGACCCCCCTGCACCCCCTTTCCTGGTCATCCCACCTCTCCCAGACTCCACACTCCCTTTTCCTTTACCTTGGGACTCCCTGGACTCCCAGTCCTGGGCATCAGGACCCCCCTGCACCTCTTTCCAGCACTGGGACTCCCTTTCACCCCCTTCCTCAACTCCAGGACCCCTTGCAACAACCCCTTTCCCGGCCCTCCTGCCTCTCCCAGCCCCCAGGCCCCTCTTTTCCTTGACACTGGTACTCCCTGGACCCCCATTCGTGCCTTTTACCTACTTCTGAATCCCCCTTTTTGTTGTTGTTTTAGAACACCGGGGGACCCCCTGAACCCCGTTTTCTGGACGTTCTCACAACCCCTCCACGACCCTCCCTTTCCCAGACACCGGCGACCCCTGTGCAGAGGATCTCCCTGGACCCTCCATCCCACCTCTCCCGATCCCTGCCCTCCCCTTTCTTTGGCCCTGGGATCCCCTCCAACTCCCCTTTCCCAGCACTGTGCCCCCCGGCAGCCCCAAGATTTACCCCAAAACACCAAGATTCACCCCAAAAAAGCACTCCCAGGGTTCCCCTCTCTCCGATATCCCCACTTTGGGGAGCCGCGGCGGGGGGTGGGGGGGAGGATTGGGGAACTCTGGGAGTGTTCGGGACAATCAAAGAGTTCCTGACACGTGGCCGGGGCCTTTGTTCGGCCCGCCGGGAATCGACAACAAACCTCAGTCCCGGGGGTGTCCCCCTGGCCGGGGATCAAGCGATGGGGACACGAAGGGACCCCCACGGGAACCCCTTTCCCGCTCTCCCACCTCCTCTTATTCTCTTCTCCCACCCTTTTCCCGTCGCCCACCCCTCCCCCCCCCATCAACCCCGGCTTCCTCCCCTCCCGCCCTCGGTCGGTCTCTTTGGGGGTCCCACCCCCTCTCTCGCTCTCTTTGGGGGTCCCAATCCCCCCCTTTCTCCTTCCCCTCTCCCTTTTTTCCATCCATTCCCCCCCAAACCCAAACTTACCAGGTGAGCTCCTCGCTCATGGAATGGAAAGCGGGGAGGAGGAGCGGGAGGAGGGGCGGGAAGAGGAAGAGGAGGAGGGAGAGGAGGAGCATCTTCCCCCCCAATCCCTCACGTTGCCGCGGGGGGAGGGGAGAGCTCCTCTCAGATATTTTGGGGGAGGGGCCTCCGGGGTGGTTTCGGGGGTGGGGGGGATGTTTGGAGCTTCGAAGCTGAGCCGCAAATGTCCCTCGGGAGGACCTTAGGGGGACTCCTGGAGGTTTGGGGTTTTTTTACGGGGGGAGGGGGATCCCGGTGTGGGTTCCCGGCAGAGCCCCGGGGATTGGGCGGGGGGATGCGGGGACTCCCCCGCGGTGGGGGTTGGTGTTCCGGGGTCAGCCCGGTCCCGGCGGGGGAGGGGGACGCGATGACACCCTTTTTTAGGGACCCCGGAGTGGGGGAAGCAGAGAGGGGTCACAGTAGAGCTGAGGGACCCCCCCGGCTGTCGGAGAGCGTGGAGAGGGTGAATAGAGAGGGGTGTGGGGGGACCGGGGACCCCCGGACCCTGAAACAGGGGGCTCTGAGAGGGTGATGGCGAAAAGGCACCAAAAAAAAACCCCAAAAGTTAACAATGGTTCAGCTGGTAGAGCTTCTCCTGTTTGCTCTCCCTGCTCTGCTGGAAGAATAAATCAGGTAAATGAGACGTTGCAATGGGATACAGAAGGCCCAGAGCCAGGACTTTGCAGGCTTGAAGGATTCAGGTCACCTAATGGGGGAGGTCTCTGCGCAATTCATCATTCCAGGGCTTTTTCAGCATCAAGGGGGAACCCCCCAGGATTCCTGGGATCTCCAGCAGCCCAGAAAAGGCCGAACCCCAGAGAGGGGGGACCCCCCAAAAACACAGGAGACCTACCAGCAGACTGAACATGGCGAGGGACCCCCAGAACCCTCAAAAGTTGGGGAGTTCCTTTGTTGCTCCAGATGTCCTTTGTGTTCGGTGAGGTTCCAAAATGTTTCGAGGTTTCTTTTGTTCCTTGAGGTTCCCAAAATACTTCGAGGTTCCTCTTATTCCACCAGGTTCCAAAATGCCAAAAAGAACCAGGTAGACCTGTGGACCAAAAAGAACCGGACAGACCCAAGGGCCAAAAAGAACCAGACGAACCTGAAGGCCAAAATGATCCGGAAAGACGTGAGGGCCGCTAAGAAGCAGGTAGATCTGAGGGCCAAAAACTACCAGGTAGACCTGAGGGCCAAAAACTACCAGGTAGACCTGAGGGCAAAAAAAGAACCGGGTAGACCTGAGGACCAAAAAGAACCAGACAAACCTGGTCTCTCTGTGATGTCACCCCAGCCTTGTGAAGTCACCAGTGTCCCCCGTGCTGTCACAGATGTCCCCGTTAATGTCACTGGTGTCTCTGTGGTGTCATCACTGTCCCCTGTGATGTCAACAATGTCCCTAATGATGTCCTGCTGTCTCTGTGATGTCACCACTGTGCCGAACTGTGGCACCTGGTCCCCGTCATGTCACTGATGCCAGTGATGTCCCTGTGAAGTCACAGCTGTCCTTTTGCTGTCAACAGTCCCCTGTGATGTCACTGATCCCCAGTGATGTCACTCATCTCCCTCTGATGTCACCACTGTCCACTGTGATGTCAGCAATGACCCTGATGATGTCACTGGTGTCACTGTGATGTCATCCCTGTCATTATGAACTCACTGAAATCCCCTGTGATGTCACCAATGTCCCTGTGACATTATGGCTTCCCATTATTGTCACCAGTCCCCTGTGATGTCACCAATGTCCCTGATGATGTCACTGGTGTCTCTGTGATGTCACCCCTGTCATTGTGAAGTCACCAATGTCCCCTGTGATGTCACCAATGTCCCTGTGACATCACTGCTTTTCTTTTGTGCCGCCAGTCCCCTGTGATGTCACTATTCCTCAGTGGTGTAACCTCTGTTCCTGTGATGTCACCACTGTCCCCAGTGACTTCAGCAATGTCCCCAGTGATGTCACTTGTGTCTCTATAATGTCAACCCTGTGCTTGTGAAGTCACCAATGTCCCTGTGACATCAGAGCTGTCCCTTTATTGTCAGCAGTCCCTTGTGATGTTACCCACGTCCCTTTGATGGCACCACTGTCCACTGTGATGCCAGCAATTACTCCAGTGATGTCATTGGTGTCACTGTGATTTCACCCCTGTCTTTGTGAAGTCACTGAAGTCCCCTGTGATGTCACCAATGTCCCTGTGACATCACTGATGTCCCTTTGTTGTCAACAGTCCCCTGTGACATTAGTGGTCCCCAGTGATGTCACTGCTGTCTCTATGATGTCACCACTGTCCCCAGCGATGGCACCATGTCCCTGCGATGTCACCAGACACCATTGACATCAACCATGTCCCTGTGACATCGTGACTATCCCTTTGTTTTCACCAGTCCCCCATGATGTCACTGGTCCTCAGTGATGTCACAGCTGTCTCTCTGATTTCATCCCTGTCCCTGTGATGTCATTGATGTCCCTGTGACCTCACTGATGTCCCTTTGTTTTCACCATTCCCCTGTAATTTCACTGTTCCCCAGTGATTTCACCGATGTCCCTGTGATGTCCCCAGTGTCCCCTGTGATGTCGGCAATGTCCCAGATAATGTCACTGGTGTCTCTGTGATGTCACCCTTGTCCTTGTGAAGTCACTGATGTCCTCTGTGATGTCACCGATGTCCCTGTGACAACAGGGCTTAGCCTTTGTTCTCATTAGTCCCCTGTGATGTCACTGGTCCCCAGTGATATCACTGCGGTCCATCTTATGCCACCACT